GTGTATCAAAGGTGTGAGTTTTGATCACATATAATTTCATTTATATTGAAAGAAGACTTCTTCTTCTTCCAAACACTGCCCACATTCAACCTGATGAATATTCTGGCAAGTTGCGCATGATTAAAAACTGGTTAAAAACAAATTGTTGATCGATTTAGTTAGAAGTTTTGGTCACTTGAGACTTGAATATCTCAAGAGACTTTGCTGTGGCGATATCTGTAGGCAGTTTGTTCTTAACTGCAATATTAAGATGACGATCTTATGAGATTACACACTTAAAGAAAAACAAAGAGAGAGTTATATAACGTTTTGCAGTTGTGACAATAATTACTGACTGCATAAGAGGAATCGTGATGCTCAAGGGAGCCAGTATTGCTCACCTGGCATTTTTCCATAAAAGAAAAGGAATAATACGCGTCATTATTTAGCCTGTGAAATTGCCAAACTGGTAAACTTAATGAAGACTTTTAAAATCGTTTTTAATCCAATTGATAAATGAACAGGTTGATATAATCTGGGCACTTTTATTAGTGCAGAAAGGTCCCTATGACGTCATAACATGTCGATATTTACATATTTGACCTAACACACAATAGTAATAAGGTAAAAATATATATGAGTAACAGCTGTACATAAAAAGATATTTTACATTCTTTAACATCTTTGTAAATTACATTCTATAGCAATTTTTCTTTTTTGGGTAAAGCTTTTGCTCATATCTATCTATTTATATATAAATATTAATGATCTTAAATTGTGGTTTTTTTGGCAGTTTTTGCTGTTTGCATAATATTGTTTTGCTGATCATTTTTTTGGACATTGATATTTTGTTATCGAGATGATAGACAAAATGGAAAAAAATGGTTAAAATTGTAAATAAGGGTACTATTGACAAGTTCAATCGTTTGACTTGTTTTAGATTATGTATTGACGACCATTTTTGTTGTTCAAAGTTTCAGTTTATCTATAATAGTTTTAAAGACATTAGAGGTATTCCCTAAACAGTGTGGACAACCGTAGTACTTTTGTTGTTAATAGTACTGAATCATTTACCTATAACTTGTTTGTTATCGGCTATCGATAACAATGATTTTACGCTCACTCAGTCTGTCAGAGGCCCTCCAGTGGGGATTTAAATAAACACTTGTTACACATTTCGATACATAAAATGAAACTCTTTTCACAAAACTTTAAAGGAATTTGTTTGAAATATTCTTTATATTATCACACACAAGCTTCATTTTAGAGAATAATAAATGTTCAGAGCTAATATCATTAAATAATCGAAAAATACATTTACACATTTGGATTTTCATTGTAAAAACTTTAAATCGATGGGGTTAATTCACAAAATATCTTAAGAGAAAAAATAATCCCACGTTGTGACCATTTAAGAGTAACCTACCATTTATTCAATGTATTGGATTTGTTTGTGAAAAGAGTTTCGGACGATGAAAAAAAATCAATTTTTAAACTGGATATTTTTCACATGGATCATCGTTTGAATCATTCAGTCATACAGAGAACTCATATGATTAGTTTGCCTTGGATATTCCAGTACTACACAACTCAATTGTCGCTATTTATGTATATATCTATATGTATATCTAATTAATTAAAAGACTTTTCTGTTTGTACATGTATAATGCTTTTATGTAAAGGCGTTGAGAACCTTTGGGACCCCACAGTTTAAATGTCTATAATAAATACGACGTGATAAGTAGGCGTTACAGGCGAACGTTCACCTAATTTAACCCAGCCAATGGGGAGACTTGAGCGCGCCAAAAAATGGTCTCGTCCACATTGTTATGAAAACGATACTAAGTAAAAACATTTAAATTGGTCAAAATCAATATGTAAGGGTAATAACTCCTATAAGGAGTTCTCCGATATTTTTTTATTAATTTGACATTTGTAGATCTTGTTTTCTTATCATACTAATGTGAACAATTCTATATTCCTACTATAGTTTCATAAAAAAAAAACAAAAAATGTTCAAATCAATGTTTAGGATGTATAAGGGAACGACCATTTAACTTCAAGGGGCGGGGGTATGGTATCTAATCCCCAATTTGATGAACAAAATAATTATGGTCAAGCAGATTTCAGAAAAAAATATTCTGAATCCAGATTTTCCCCATACCTTATAGTGTTAAATTTTGAAAAAAATAACTTGATTGATAGCGCGAAAAACTTTTCTGACTCAGACAAAAAGCCATACCCCCCCCCCCCTTAGGTTAAATGGTTGCTCCCTAAATACTTGAATACTTGATGAGCTATATCATCAGGAAGAAACTTACGAGAATAAGTTAATCAACTTAAGGTTAAATTTACCTAAAGTAGTTCAAACCTATAGTTTCTTTATAATATCTAATTTTATCAATTTCTAATTTAAGAAAGGTATGTAAAATATTTAGTCCTATAATATAAGACTTCGGAGTTTCATATCATTTACATTCAACGTTTTTTATCGCATATTTTTTTTACTATCAATGTTGAAACCCGGGTTAAAAAAAAATATCCGATAAAAAACGTTGAATGTAAATGATGTGGTTTCAACATTGATAGTAAAAAAAAAAATATCCGATAAAAAACGTTGAATGTAAATGATGTGGTTTCAACATTGATAGTAAAAAAAAAATATCCGATAAAAAACGTTGAATGTAAATGATATGAAACTCCGAATTTTTATATTATAGGACTAGTAAAATATTAAGTCGGTGTCGTAGCACGGACTGTTGAGCTGATGATACCCTCGGATACAAGCGGTCAACCAGCAGCGGTTTCAATCAAAATGCTAGAAAATGAAACAAACATTGTAAATATTCTTTAAAAAATACAGCGGTCATTTGACATCCGCACTTTTATCCGACACTTCCGAGCAATGTATTACATGTCGACGAATGCAATGTTCATAAATGATTGTTCAGTTATAACCGCGAGTAACTGTCTAGTCTTTTAAAACAAATACGCTCGTGGAAATATGAATGTGATTTATATCAAAGTGAAAAACTATCGCTAAGTCTTCCCCGTCTGTTAAACGAGTTGATTGAATGATTGATGTTTGCTTTACTCCGCCTTAGAATAAATGTGCTTATATGTATATTTTGACAGTAAAGATGTTGTTTTAAAAATCAGTACACTCAATAAGAACGTGTCTAATCGTTTAACAGATAAATAATATGCACAAAAACATACTCTAGTCGTACGAAATACTGTTTTCTAGATTAGTAAGCACAGCTTTTATCATTTTCAATCTCATTGTAAAATCCCATACTTTGAAACTCTCACGGGATGATTATCCTAGCAATTCATAATACATAACCGCCGTTCCTCTATAAAAGGAAAATTGAACTTGTAAGGGTTCTGGCTGTATATTTACATTCTACAAATGTATTAAATTCCACAGAAATAATATCTAAGAAATAAATAAAAGAAAACAAGAATGTGTCCATAGTACACGGATGCCCCACTCGCACTATCATTTTCTATGTTCAGTGGACCGTAAAATTGGGATCAAAACTCTAATTTGGCATTAAAATTAGAATGATCATATCATAGGGAACATGTGCACTAAGTTTCAAGTTGATTGGACTTCAACTTCATCATAAACTACCTCGACCAAAAACTTTTACCTGAAGCGGGACAGACGGACGAACGGACGCACAGACCGAAAAACATAATGCCGCAGGTGGGGCATAAAAAGAACTACATTTTTTTGTTGTATAAACATCTTTTATTAGTTACATGTAAATGATTTTGAAGAATTGTTGAAAACTTGCGAGTTTTATAAAACCTTTTTCACATTATGCGTACCATGTGTACGATGGTAAATAAACTCATCAAAGATACCAGAATTGAAATTTTGTACGCCAGACGGGCGTTTCGTCTAAAAAATACCCGTCAGTGACGCTCGAATCAAAAAAAGTTAAAAGGCCAAACAAAGTGCGAAGTTGATGAGCATTTAGGACCCAAAATTCCTAAAAGTTTTGTCAAATACAGCTAAGGTAATCTAATCCTGGAGAAGAAAATCCTTAGAATTTCGAAAAATTCAACATTATGTGACAGTATAAAGAAGGTAATTGTACATATCAATTAGTATGTGAATAATTATATGCAGTCTATTGTTCTATTTCTTCTTTGTTTGTTCTTCTTCTAAAAATGTGAAATATAACCCACCTAAAATCAGGGGCGGATCCAAGAATTTGGAAAGGGGGGGCGAAGTTTTTAAAGATAATTCTGTTGGAAATTTTCGTTTCTAATAGCAAAAAAGTGGACAAGATTATTGTTTTCAATCCAGATACGGCCAGGAATTTTATTTAATGCAAAAATCAGAGTCAGATTTTTTTCTCTCAAATACCTTAGACTGCCTCCTCAAATCAAATGGTTCGTACCTTAGACTTTAAATCTATCTAGAGCTTATATACTGACTGGGGATCATTATTCAGTTATCATGTTATTTTTAAATAGGCTGGGGCGTTTGGGGTTAAACATGTTTTCGTAGGTAAATAATATTGCTGTGGTTTTTTTTTCATGAGAGTGTAATAATGTATTACTTTGTTTGGTTGAATTGTGAAATAGAAGTCGCTACGTTCTTGCTCAATCCTGTGTCGCTTTGAAGGTATCATGGTTGTCATCCTCAGCCTAAGCAATGTGTTACTGTAATTTGAATTTCAAAATGACTGAGTGACGTTTTTTTGACGCACTGGTCAACTCCACCATAGCGAATCACATGACTTTGACATAATCAGTAATTACCAGCGAAAAATATCTTTATAAGTAAAGAATTGTCGCATAAAAATTAAATACACGGGAAATGGCAAAGTTCACGAAGTCTAGTCTGATTAATCATTTTACAAAAACAAAAAACAAAAAAAAGTCCAAGCAAAGGGGGGGGGGGGGGGGGGGGGGGGGGGGGGCGTACGCCCTCTACGCCCCCCTCTGGATCCGCCACTGAAAATGATAAGATAATGCTGTAAAGATATATCAGCTTGTCTTACCTGAAGATAGCTTAGTCTATATGGAAAATATTTGCCAAAAACTATAATCAAGACTTTGTTTGTTTGTTTTTTAAATTTTAACTGGAAGTTCATTTATAACTACTAATGGACGCCATGCCGATCCATGCCCTATGATAAGGATTATATAATTCAACGCTCCAGTGGATTTAGGTATTTAAATTGTATTTTTTCGTTTTTTCCCTTAAAAATAGAGAAAGTAGACCAAATAATTTTAATGCGTCATAACAACAGAGAGATGTTTTCGAATAAAACATTTTTACTAAAAGTACTTGACGACAGACTTTACAAGTGAATCTTAAAAATGCATAACTTCAAAAATACTTCATTTTGTCTGTGTGTTATCTAGGGTTATTAGTCTCCAACCTCTGAAAATTTTTAGTCTGCCCTTCCACGAAATATTTAATTAGATTTTTTTTTAAATGTTTTGAACTTTCGAAAATTCTACCTGGCAACCGATCAGACAATAGTTTTAAGTTGACTAAATGCAGAACAGTACATTAAATGATGCTCAATAGCTAGTAGATACATTTGTCTTTTAATATACAACTGGCATATAAGGATCGTAATGGTGCTATGTGGATAAATTTATCGGGTTTCAAGAGCTAAATTGGCAGCGCATCATCCCTACAATAGCTTTCATTATTACGATTGTAAAAATAACTGGCGTAATGGGGAGATAATTTTGACGAAGAAGAATTCTGACTGTAACACCCCAAATTCTTTATAAGCGTTTAATACAGAATTTAACTCTTTAATTCTCAATTAAATAATTTGTACATCCTAAGCCCAGCCTCTTTATTTCATCTTATTTTTAATCAAAAAGTAGACTAGGGTAAACCAAAAATTAAAATCTAGAGGAAATCGTTCGTCCTTCGACAGGGACAGCTGCCCGTGAACCAATGTGTCATACCGCGTATGAAAAAAGTATAAGGGGGATGTAGTGCGAGAAACATGCGAAAACCATTACAGTGGGAAATCTAGTGACAAAATATTACCTCCCCTGTAAACACTAAGAACTAGATCTTTTCAATGTTTGTCCCATTTTAGCAAGGACGCTATCAATTATAAAATCACAGGAAAACGTTTTGGTAAATAGTAAAAATTGAAATGAAATAAAAACAAAACTTCCATTTAGTGTTATCATTTCTCTCTTTAAATAGAAAACGACTAGTACAGCAGGCTAAAGGAGCTTGGTGTAAAACTGGTTTAAAATGTTGCTATGCGACAAATTCCTGGAGTACCAACTTCAATAAATTTTTTACTGGCTGTATACCTCTCTGGAATATGCCAATTATCCGTATATATATGCAGCTAGATCAGAGAAAGTCGGGGAAAAAAATCCAAAGGAAACGTTTGGTATGCAGCAAAGATTACCACTTTTGAAATTAAGTTACTAAGCAAATTCAAACGGACCTTATCCCGATGTAAACATTGAATGTGAATAGATCGAGAAGACCGCAAATACATGAACAAAAATCGAGACGACCTTTACTTAAAACTGTATAAAAAATAGTAAAAAGATACCTACTTTATAAAAATATTTATCTTTAATGTTTTAACCTGCACAGACAGACTTTTATATTGTTGTATTCATGAAAAGACAATATTTCGATATTGAATTTTCATGTGACAAAAGCAGACTGGTGTACTCGAAAAATTAGAATATGAAAAAAAGTATATTTTGGGAAATTGTAACACGCTAAGGACTTTGTGGAACACTCCAAAAATTGGTGACCCGAAAGATCTTTAGATTTTGTATGTACATGATTTTTTCCAATTTTTTTTTATGAATATGCAGCAAAGATTAACATTTTTTAGATTTCAGTTTCACAAGCTTCTAATGCAATTATCTCGATAAATACTGAACATAAAACATCGTGTATTTGCATGTATATTTCTAATAGCACAGTTTAATAAATAATTTCTTAAAAATGTACAATTATTATTTAGAAATATCTTATGGTCAGTGTCGTCACCGGCATTGTTTTATAATTGATTTTCTCAACTCTATCATAAGAAGAGGTAATTTTATTTTGTTCTTTTTCACTAGATTTCCCACTGATTAGTTATGAACATTTAAAACATTACGACTCATAACTTCAAGCAAAATAATGTCTTGCATACGAAGCAATTGTTTTTTTTTTCAATGATCAAAACAGTATTGATGAGATATCATAATACTTTAATGACATTTATATTGAAAGAAAACTAAACTGCAATATTAAGATGACGATCTTTATAAGGCTACACACTGTAAGAAAAACAAAGAGTTAAAAAATGACTTTATGTCATGCAGTTGTGACAATAATTCGGCTTCAAAATCCATGTTTATTATTCTGCTGTCATGGCTGCATTCCACCTGCAAATATAAAAAAAAAGGGAAGATGTATAATCACTATGATGATCATACTTAGATTTGTGATTTTTATTTTATTTTATTTGTGTGTGTGTTTTCCTCTCCTCATATGCCATAGTACGGAGATGTACATGTAAATGTCTGTGAAGATCAGAATTGACTATAGTTAAAATATGAACAGTTTCATTTTACCTTATGAAATGTCTTTTAATAAACTCAGTTATTGAGTCAGACGAATTTTAAGAAGAATGAATTCGCTCTTTCTCTAACATAAAAAATGCAAGTAAGTAGATTTATTATGTTGATATCTATTGATAAAAAGATAGGGACAAATTCACCTTGATATATTTTTATATATATACTTAAATTCATAGTATGACAGCTTCTTCTTTCGTACTTTGAAGTTCAAACAAAATTATAGGGGTATTTCTTAACATGTAACCAAATAATGGATCGATCTTGTTGCTACGTAGATTTTGGCAAATATGAGTGTTTATCGCAAAAATAGAATAAGAATGGTAGTCTTAACCTAAACCAACACTAATTTGGATGTAAAGCTATGTTTTGTCTTTCAGATACAAATTAATTTATATTGGTTAATGATATCTTTCAATTAGAAATTATTCAAACACATTTAAAAGGTGGGATATTTTGAACTAGAGATGAAATATGTCTATACTTACTGTTTTATCAAACACAAGTTTTTGACCCAGATATAAAATTAGCAATGACTTCAAATATGTCATTAGAGTATCAGAAATTTGTTTGAAAATTGGTAACACCCCCATATATCATTTTGAGAATCCTATTGAAAGGTAATAGTTTGTTCAGGATGTTCAGTTTGTTATCCACAGCGATCAAAAAAAAGAGAGGCGAAAGATACCAAAGGGACATTCAAACTCAAAAGTAGAAAATAAACTGACAACACCGTGGCAAAAAACGAAAAAGACAAACAACAGTATACAAAAGACAACATAGAAAACTTCTTAAGACTTAGCAACACTAATTATAATCTAGTAACCGCTGTGGATAGTAAACTAGATATTATTAGTAAATAGTAAAGAAATATTATTTCTAGTAAATTTATATAATCCTTCTGACACAGATAAAAACGAAAATACTTGAAATTAGAAGAAGAAAAAACGGCAAAAAGAGCGAGAACATAAATGTCTCGAGCATCACTGAAGAATCATTGCTTGTCAAAATGCGCATCTGGTGTAGAAAAATTGGTACCGTTATTTTATTGTGCCCAAGTGACTCCTACAAAAAAAGTCCTTAACGTTAAGAAAAAAAGGAAAACTGTTGTTTTTTTTTTACATGCTAAATAAAGGTTACAATTATTATCTTTTTAGAGCATTACCATTTTTACACTTCTTCCTATGATCCTCATAGCTAGCCCTGCTTTAAAGGTCCTTTTCGTTTGATGGTAGCGCCGGGAGTGCAGTCTATATGCAAATGGCGGATACACTTTTTTGCGCATCGCTCCGTTCGGCAATATACATTAATTCATCAGGAATTACGCCCCCTTTTAAAACTCCTGGATCCGCCCCTGTATCCTGTTTTATAAATTGGAATGCAACATATGCGACGTACTAAAAATACGCTAAATGTGAAGTAGTACGTTTTATTCAAAATTAAAAATATGTATTTGTTTTTCGCACAAGACTGTACGTTGATATGAACCTGTAGATCATAATGTTCAAAGAAATGTTGCACTAAAAGATAAACACAGAATAGTTGAAATTAACATTACGGCAGATGCAACGTCGCTCGTTCTGGTCCTACAGAGTTGCTAACGATAACACTAAATGAAAAACTTATGATTGAGTGACACGAACCCGACCAATAACTAGGGCTGGTATCAGGTGCCCCGGAAGGGTGAGCGCACAATGCTCCACACGAGGTATCCGCCGTGTTGCTCACGGTACAATTCAATATTAAGTCTCATTCGGTGATGAGAATATACATTTGCATTTTAATATCATTGTTGCCGCAGATATTTCATTGAATGCCAGCGTTAAAACATTGAAGCTGGTATATTTGATGAATTTTACATCGATGAAATGTCTTTTGTCCATAAAACACCCTTCAATTGTACGTAAACACATGTTAAACATATGTTAAGCGTCCGATATTTATGTCTAAAACGTCTGGATTATAAATATGTTTACAGGTGCGATTCATCCTGTGTACACAATTAAACAGTTATATAGTTGTTTTTTTCTAAAGTTGTAAGACACGCATGTATTCATTACTTTTATAGTTAAAATTTGGTTAAAAAAAAAAAAATTGACCGAATAATTTTTTCTTTTATAAGAATAGGATAGGTTCTTTTGTTCCGATCTTAATATTGACTTATCAAAATTTAAACCTAACACACAATATCACGTGGAGATCTAAACAATACATTAAAGCCGGTAATTCTTTTGAATTGGATTATTCTGAAACCTGTTATAGCGCACTGTTTTGCATATCGTTGAAGGCTGTATTTTGACTTGCAGTTTTTTACATCCTCTTCCTTAAAATTTTTGGGATACGTGTCTCATTGGCAGTTACAATACATTTCTTTATTTCATATTGAGACCCCCCTTCCAAAAAAAAAAAAAAAAACAAAACAAAACAAACAATTTGCTTCTTTACACGATATAACTTTGGCCTTGAACAGCAACAACAAAATAATTTGCCAACTTGGCAAGATATACTTTATAGCCACAAATAAACATTCTTTTTATTTAAAGAAATTTATTCATA